TGGTGCCCTACGGTATAGTAGGTGCCAGACGGAGGCTCCTGCGTGACTAAGTTATTGTGCTAGCAAATGTTTGCAGTATCTACCCCTTACCATCATCCCGTGTTAACCTGAGTCCGATATCAGGACGGAGTCAGGAACTCTAAAGGCGGCATCAGGCGCAGTTGATACCAAACGAAAACAAACATTCCACACGCCTGGTTCGTACACGCTTGAAGAGGAGAGCGCACAAACACCAAAGTAGCGGTTCCGATCCCATCTGAGTAGAGGCGCCACAAGGGCAAAATTTAGTAGGATCCAGTGCATAAACTCTTTGGAGCATGACCGAAAGTAATATTGAAAATGCGAGTTGTCATTCATTTTGAGAAACCTGTTGGAAGACAGACTGCGACGCAGCCGCTAAGTAGAGGCTAACGCAGACGGCTAGCCTGTTCACACACTTGGGTTTTTGTGAGAGCCTCTCTCATGTGCTACCGATTGTTAAACTTATTTGTTCAGAGGGAGGAATTCGGTAAGTGGTATCAAATATTTAAGCTTTAGTGCTTCCTTAATAGCTCTAGGGCTTTTATTTATAACATAACGTAATTCTCGGATTAGTTTTGCCGAACGAATGATTTAAATGGCATAAAAAATGAAGTAATTTTTATATTGAGACCTTTATGTCCAGAACATGAACCGATGACAAGAATGTGCAAAACATTTAATTTTCTAATAAGAGGCTCCTCAGTAACTTTTAAAAAATAAAGCATAAATATGTAAGGTACGATTTTTAACTTCAGAAGAAAGAGTGAGCTAAAAGTTAAGAGTTTAAGTTAAGTTAGGTTATGAGCAGAGTTCAAACGTGGTTTGCAGGAATTTTGAGTCTGTGGGTATAACTCATGGAACAATGCACTAGACCAAGCGCTACTTATTCATATAATCGATGAATCGGTAAATCACTTAATGACTTATCTTTTAATTCGCACAGTGGCTGCATTGCACCTAAGGAGACTTCCATGGACATAACCGATAAAACAGTTCCATTCGAACCACGTACTCTTGTTCGGTCAGGACAGATAAGCGACAAATTTTCGCCAAGGTAAGCATATTATCTGTCTGGAATATTATTTGAGATAATACCATGTATAAGACTTGCAATATTTATTTATTTAAGTATGGGTTGGACTATCACAGATTACCTGTCTTTAAACTTCTCAGTGACAACTATGGTTCCATGATTGTGTTGAAATTCTTATGGACTTCAAAACGTGTGCTGTACCGTTTCGCTATGCTACTCAAAGCGGACACCACTACAACCAAAATCTGTAAAATTTCATAAGGCCCTATAGTCCGTGGAGGGTTATGGATTGAGTTCCGCCGATTAGTATGCGCAGTAGCTGACCTCCCCGCGGTAGAGACTTGACAACTTTTTGCTTTCATGATTTTGTTGTTTTAGCAGTGTTCTTCCCCGTCGGCAATTCAGGGTTAAAACAGCGAGCTAATTAGTAGATATTCAACTTAATGGATTTTGAATAATAATTGCCAAAATCGAGATAAGACTGCATGCAAACCATACCACACTGAAGGGCAGAGCATCTGCCACAACCATTAAGCTTATCCAGGTAGAAAGTATTGCCGGCAAAGACAGGGGAGACGGGAATGACGATTTCTGGCTTATGAGCCGTCTTCAGCCAGTCGTACTCAGCCCAAGGTGGTGCACCACTCAAGGCTCGATCTCTCAATCTTTCAGTCAGTCTAACGCCCGATTAATTGAACTATGAGCTTGTTTTCTTTCCGGTTTAAGTCGGAAGATAGTGAAAATCGTTAATGTACGAAAACCAATAACATAAGACGACGCCTAACGTAAGATTCGATGGTTGGTCAGAGTATAAGCCAATAAACACCCGCTGCATTTAATTTTCTGGTCGATGGGGGCTGTTTATGCTTCCATTGGGCCTTACGAAATTCGCAATTGGCATCTTAATCGACGTGCCTGTTAATGCATGCCTCGTCTCAGTGCATTGCCTGTGGGAGCGCGATTCCGATCGACATAAGTTAAACTAGAATGATCGCGTTTAGACGCCTTGATGAAATCACGCAAAATCCTACGTCTAAAGTGACCTGGGCTCGAACTCGCGGTCTTTTAGCATTGGACGTTAAATATTCAAGACCTTAACTAATGAACCACGGAACAGTCTTCCCTTCAGCTTTTATCGGGAACATAAACTATGACAGCATGCAGTTCACCAAACAGGTTCCAGTACATGCTCGTCCTACACTACCTTAAATTTTAATCCCAGGCTTCGTCAAACCCTGGGGTGGATATGACTAACTGACGATGGCTAATAAGCCGGAAATAACCTTCCCGGTCTCTCTCGACTTTGCCAGTACAACGTCCTCTGCATAAACTACTTGTCACTATGCGACTACCAGATAGAGCTCTGGATTGAATCTCAAGGTACAATCAGAAGACCACGTCATCTCACCTGATCTGTGCGCTTCACACACATGATATATGGGGAGTAATGACAATTGAGAAAACCCCAGGGTTAAAAATCGTGGTATTTGGAAAGCAGAAAATATCCTTCGACGTACTGGTTTGTCTTTCACACGTACTTTGTTTTCCCTTGTTTGTACACACAGTTGCGAGGAAAGCCTCCTCCGCAAAGAAAAGCAAGAAAAGGAAGCTTTGAAGAAGGAGATTGAAAAGAACAAGGAGGCCTGGGAAGCTGAACAGAGGGCGCATCCGCCAGGCAGACTGCCCGGAACCTATGATCCTGTGATAGGTTCTGGAGCACCACAAAACTGGGAGCCACGAGTTCTTTCAGTAGATGACCTAGTTTTCAAGAAGGTGGAACCAAAAACGCTCTGGCAGAAGGCAGTTGATCTTCCGGCCCCAGAGCCGTACTGTAAAAGGAAAGTGACGTTTGCGCCAAAACCAGCGGAAGAAACCAAGCAGTGTCAATGATACCATCTTTCGAATTGCAAAGCACACACCACGAGGGTTGCGGAAATCCCACCTGTCTTAGATAATAACTATTCTCTCTTTCTCTCCCC